TACCAATGAAAATATCATGGTTCTGAGTAGTATCACGATACCACAGCGAAAATGAGGCAGATGTGCCTTTTGTCATTTATAAAAAGATAAATCACTTTTCTATAATACATCAATGATATTTCAATGGAATAAATTACTTACTGACTTATTCATACTTCAAAAACAGCATCAATGAGTGATGAACATAGGGGGGATCAAAATAAAAATAAATAAATCAAATAAGAATCAACCAGCCACCCTCCTCCCCTGACAAGTAAAGAACAGTCCCTAAAGTGCGGTGAGGTTTGTGGGCCGTGAACGGCTCGTTTCTCCTCTGACACGTCACATACCTGTGTTCGGCTGGCTCGGCTGTTCAGGTACTTCTGGGTAGTCGTGACGCCAAGAAGAGGATATTATTGGAGCCGACTTATCCGTCGCCGGTAAGCCGATGGCCGCCATATTTGACAGGAATACATAACTGTCTGTGTCTGTGACCCCCATTCAACCCACAAAAGGTGGGATTCGCCTTTCGTTTCTGCTGGTGGTGGAAATCTGTAGGCTGTTCGCACAGCGTGCTGAATGATTTAAGCCTATTTTGCTCGCTCAAAACTATTTTTAGTCGCAAATGTGAGTGTTGTGACGGGCGGATCGCCACACTGCTGACAGGTACACAACTCGCAGCATTCACAGACAGACACTCACTTGTGTTAATGGACACATTTTCCCCACAAATACAACATGCTAACGTTATTAGCACAAACCCATGGCATTTTACGTTGTATTGATTAGCCTAGTGGCTGGCGATCTTTTCCTCTTCTCATATAAAGCCAGGGACATCAGCAACATTTAACAAAGGTAAAGGCACACAGTTTGGTTCCATTACAGCTCACAACATTCACCGACAAAACAACTGTCATACTAATCACGTTTTCCAAACAAATACAAAATGCTAATATTATTAGCGCCAGCCTATGCCTTTTTACATTGTATAAATTAGCCTAGCGACGAGCGGAGATTTCCTCTTCTCATATGAAACCTGGATAAATCCCCAAGTATAAATCCCTGAAGGATAAAACACACACAAGACTTAAAATGCTATTTTAGTGGAGGCTTTACCATAAAATAAAATAAATATATAAATCACAATTTATAGTTTCTTATCTGTGAAATAAGAGTAAATAAAAGCTTTGTCTCCACTGAGGGAAACGGTTTCAGTATTACAGAAACAGACAGGAGGTCTGCGTCAGTTAGGTTTTTTGTACGCGCAAAGTTTGTTGTCACACGTAATACAGGGGTGAAAGTAGCCCAGCTGAGAGGCCAAGGCTATTTATACTGGGGTGCAAATAGTCACTCCGGAAAAGATTTCACATGAATACATTCAAATGTGTGAATGGGTAAAAATGTTTTGATCAAATGAATTCAAATGTTTAAATGTGTAAAAAAAATATCTGAACAAATAGATGTAATTTTTGAATCCATGAGATCTGTAGTTGTGCATGACATTTTGTGAACAAATAAAAAAATAATTGCAAATATTTTTCCAATGTGTAAGTGCATGAAGAAAATTTGAACAAAGGTTTGCAGTTACAAATCAAATGTTTGTTCGCATATTTTAATGTATTCATACAAAATGTTTTCTCACATTCATATATGGTGATACACAGCTACAATACTTAAACTTATTTTGTTTCAGCAGAAGTGGTTTATTATAGGAGGGCTCAAATTAATTCAATTATTATATATACACACATATATACATAATTCTTATGTAACTTTTTACCATTATTAATCTCTTTTTTTGCCAATGGTTGAACAGGTTGTCATATAAAAAATAACAGACTTCCCCCATCTTTCTCGGTGGCCTACAACAGCCTTTGGACTCACCTCTTTGCAGGGCTCTGGACTGCGACCAAAATGGTCGCATATGCAACCATTTTTTGTGAGTGCGCAAGTTAAAATTTCATGTGGTCGCACTGAAATGCACATCAGCAGGTCCACCATACATTCATCAGGTGTATGAAATATCAGTATCATTACTGCTTTGCATTTTTATAAACAATGATTATCTGCTCATCCATCTTGTCACATATGTCATGATGTATGTTTTATACACAGAGCTAACAAAATAGTAGTGGGAGGCCTCTTATAGTATGTATCTGACAGACCAATTGGATCTAAGATTGTTGAGTCTGCATATTATGGGATGTTTCAGGCAATAAGGTTAAGCGGCGAGTAAAATATAGCAGCCACATGTTCGTCACACAGTAATGTCTCACACAGTACTATTTTTGTGTAAAGCAAACACTAAAGTTACATCCAGTAACAAACAGCTGAACGTTACCAGTGAAAACACTGGGTGTTTTTGCAACTCAAGTGTAGAGGATTGTGATGCTTATTAAGTTACAACTTTAGTAATATCTGCTGCCTTGCGTCAGACACAAAGCACTGCTCACTCACCGGAGCAGCTGCTCTAGTCTCTTGACCCGTCCGTGGCATGGCAGCCTTCAGTGTTAACAGGCTATTTACTTATGTGTAACCTGCCAGTGGAAAAGTAAGAGAAGTGGAGCCCAATATCCCAGGGAAATCAAAGGTTGTCATGTTATGTGTGTTCCCGAGTGCTTTCCCCTCTTCAGCTCTGCTACAGCAGTGTGCAGCAGTAGCTAACGTTAGCAAGCTAATTAGCTAATTCTTGTCACATTTGTGGTCTGATAAAGTTAATCCATCAAATTCAGTGCCCCATGTCATAAAATCAGCATTGAAGTGTGAAATATTTTGTGATATCGTGGTTTGAGCAGGCTAATGGTAACTAATGTTAACTTGCTTGCTAACACGAACAAATTGCTATCTAGCTAACGTAGCAAAATACTGTCTTGAGTGATTAATGCCATTTAATTAATCCAGACTCCAGGCTTGATCTGGCTGGCAAATTGGCTGTCTTGCCATTTGCAAAAATAATGTCAGTGGATGTTAATGTAAGATGACTAGCTTGCCAAAGTACTTCCCCTGCTAATGTCACACATGATAACAACTTCTGTATTATAACAATCAGTGTTAATTTAGCCAACAATAAATGATGTAACATTACAAAGCGCTTTGTGCTAGCAAAGAGCGATGCAGTGGCAGCCAACAAGCTAACCCCAATCTGAGCTACTGTCAGCCAGCTGGCTGTAACTTAGCTAACATTATGGTACACAGCTCTGCAGGTGGTTGCTTAAATCATCAACTCATAATGTAATTTGCAAACAGTAAGCAACTTAGTATAATGGAGCCAGTGGTCCAAATAAAATATCCACCTTATTCCTAGCCCACATGATGCCTTGCAATGAATTAAAGGTGTGACTTTCGATTTGTGATTTAACTAATTTTCTAACCAATAATGTACATTACATCTCAGAAGCAGGTGTTGATATTAAGACACGTACCTGTGGTATCCTGAAGGGTATATGTGGTTTGTGAAAGCCCACAGCCAAGAAGAAAGGAACATCATTGTTGGCCCGACTCTTCAGTAACCTTACTGCCTCGTCTGTGCTCTCCAGGTCAGGGAGGGTTCCCCCAGGCTGCTCTGTGACGTTCACTGCACACAGTAAGTTGGCGTGGAGTTTACCATCCTCTCCTTTACACATCTGGAAACAAGGTTTTTATACAAATTGTTAAAAGTCACATTTGTGCACAGTTCCTGCTGAGATGTCATTTTTATTGTCAGTTGTCACATGGAAGTTTAAATTGAGTTAACCCAGCTGTGTCTATTAAGATCTATTGAAATCTACATAATTCTTTGAGAACAACTTTCAGATATTTCAGTGCAAATTTTAGACAGAGCAATAACTTGAAAGTTAATCATCACTGTCTAGTACGTTCACTACCACAGCATGCAGAAACAAAGATACTTCAAGCAACAATTTTTTTTAAACTGGTCCGGTACTGAGGGAGACTGCTCCAACCACAGCGGCAACACAGGCTGTAAAGTATTCCCTACAACCAATAGTCTTCCGTCAATTTGCGCCCTCTAAAAGTACTTGTTTTTGCCACTGACTGGCTCAAATTATTATTAGAAGTGTCTGACGACATTTCGGAAAGGATCCTACAGAGAAATTAAACGTCTTTCCATGCCTTTTGCTGCTCTGTTATTGTGACCAAGTATTGCTGAAGGAGAAGTCTCATTCCGAAATCTTGCAAGTGACTTGTGGCAGAAAAAACAACAGTGCAAAGTGGAGAGTTAGAGAGGAGTGCCGGCAAAAGTTTGTTGTGTTGAGAACAGAAAGTGTAAATTAGTGTTATCTAATGATTTTGAATATTTTTGAATATTTAGCTGATTTCAGCAATGTGGAAAAGTCTGTAAAATTTCAGAACGAGACTTCTCCTTGAGTGAGACTTGGTTACACACACTAACAAACACACCGCATCAGCAAAAGGTAAGGAAAACTGTTTTTGATTGTTGGAACAGTGGAAAGATGAATCAAGACAACTTATGAGTGTGTCATTTCATTTCTCGACTTTGGATAAAGTGTTTTATGATGATAAAATTATTGTTTATTCAAATGGAATCTGGTGGGTTTGGTGATAGAGATTTCAGGGCTGATTCTGCTAAAAACGAAAAGGATCTTTCTCTTTAACAAAAGGGTCGACCTCTATGGGATCCTTTCTGTAATGTTTTTAGACAATTATAATAACAATCTGAGCCAGCCAGGGGCTAGTCTCACCACCAGACAATCAGAGATCTCCGCCTTCTGATAGTCTGGGGACACTCCTTTCTAAAGTGTGTTTAACACACCGGCGAAAACGGCCGGCAACAAAGCAACACCTCTTGCATTTTTGAAAAGGACACACCTTCTCGGAAATGTGCGCTCCCCTTTTCTCGTCCGCAAGGAAACAAACACACAGAGAACTTGAAAATGGATGCCGAGAGATTAAACTCCGTTTTATCAAACGTGTGCTCATCCATGAAGAAAGTATTTTTTTCCAGCGAATGTCTTAGTTATAACATGATTGAGCTAACTGGAGTAGTTTCATGTTGTATCCGACAACGGGAGGCTTTTAACAGATGACGTCCTGCTGCTAACTTGGTGTTAGCTGTCCCAGTCAGCTGCAGCCACTGATGCTTTCTAGACATCGTGATTTCCCAAAACTGAATAAATACCACACATAGCAACACAAAACTACTTTGCTAGCTCAATCATGTTGTAACTAAGATATCCGCTGGAAAAGATATTTTTTTCACGGACCGTTTAACGAGTTATTACCTATTACAGACATCGCTAATGGCTAACAGGGCTAACAGCTAATGGTTAGCCCAGCTAAACGTGCACACAGAAATAGTAATGTTTGTTCAATCATTGTGTTTATAGACTTTACAAACATCGGATTAGTC